CCTCCCCTCTGGCTGCGTGCCTGTTTTATGTAAATATGTAAGCCTGATTTGGATGATACACAGATTGCCAGCAGTTTGCTACTGCCATGTTTGAGATTTTTAGAAGTTTTCTTTTATTACAAGAGGCGCCAATCTGGCGAATGCATTTTATACTTCCTTTCCTCTTACGATGAATACCATCAGTTTAAGGTCCTTTAGCTACAATCAAAAGTCAATCTGAGACCACGCAGTATGTTCCTTCAAAATGCCTTTCAGGACTAATATACGCACATTGGGAAATATGTAAATATATATATATTTATATATATATATATATATATATATATATATATATATATATACAAGCGTAATGAATGGCTTCTGATTGCTCCTCGCTGATTGCAGTTCGATAGCTAATCGTTCGGTAAGATAAAGTTTAGAAAACACAAATCCTCACTCACCTCGCCTCCAGTGACCTAAAGATGGCAGTACATGCATCTCACGCCAATGAATGTTATATGGTAAAGAAGCACGGATTTCATGCGAGTATACACCATTTCCTCCTAAGGCCGAACGCCACCAGCGCTACAATTCGAGAAAGTCAATCAAGATGTGCCAAAATTGTAAGATTTTTTTAATATTCTATCCCAGGTTAAACTAATCGTGCACAGTGAACGCGCAGCTATCCTGTAGACTCTTTTGTGATTGAATGGTTTTACCGTTCGATAGAAAAACGCACTTATACGAGAAGCGCCGTGCAGATGCACTTTTTGCTCTGCTTGATTAGGTCTTTGAGATTGTTGCGTTGGCTGCGAACGGGCTTGATAGAGAAAGGACCGTAAACTTATTTCGTTCTTTTTGATGGCCCGGCGTTCGAGCACTGCACTATTGCTTGCAAGGGGATTTCGCCCAATGACTGCGGCGCAATTATTTGACGCGAATCAAAGTGTGTTGGCTTTTTATGTAGGTGGTGCGGATTTGATAATTCTCCTTTTAGTGTACAATTATGAGTAGCCCGTTTTGCTTTTAAATAAGTTCAGCAACGCTGATTACACGAACCATTTCCCTCGAGCGCTATAATGAAACGCTTGGGATCCCCCCCCCCCCCCCCCCCACAAAACAATGAGCTTCTTGCATCGTTCTAATAGAGGTTGCTTCATGCATTTCGAACGATTGCTTTGGTCAATTCAGCTGCATGGCCACTATCTACTTTATGCCCATCAAAGCGAGAGCACAGAGACAGTGCACGTTAATCGGAGTGATACATTTTAAAAAATATTTTGTCGTTATTTACCTAGAGAAAGGGAGAGGAACGCTGCTCAATCTTTTTGTTTTTATTTGTTTCTTGGAGTGGTTGCTTGTCTTGGCGCTGACACCAATTTAAATAAAAGGTATACACCTATTTTGTTTTTGTACGGAAAAAACTATATTTAGACTGGTGTAGCAATTTGAGTCTAAGAGTATTGTTATGACCATTATGCACGTATGTGCATATTTACGAAGAAAACACCACGTGCGAACCAGTTTCACATGTACCGAGCTGTTTCTGCTCGCTGGAGCTTGGAGTATACTTTCGGGAGTCAAATTCTCTTCTTCCCTCCTTATAAGATTCAACCCGCCCCCGTCCCCCCTTTCCCAGTCTTGGAGAAAATGCCTTTCTCCCGATAATTGTTCGTGGATACACCACACAGTATGGGGTTTCCTTTGAATGCACTCAATACACGGTAATAAGCCAATGCGTAGTGTCGGTGGATTGCCATATAGAAAATCGCTTTCTCTGTAACGCCGGACTTTTAAGCCTTTAAGTTATGTTAGTCAAAATTATTATTTTTTGGCTGCTATTTTTTGGCTAAAAACGCTTTTAGGTTATGCTAGTCAAAATGATTATTTTTTGGCTGCTAAACTGCAAGTGCCAACAAACGCAAAATAATTGTACACTAATAAGGGTAGCTAGCACATCGTCTGCTTTCTTTCAATCACACTCCCAGACTGGATGATGACGACATAGAAAAAGGAAAAAAAGAAAATATCTTACTGAAAAAAGGATCCCTCTTTGACACGCTCTTTGGAGGTAAACAAAGCTGGCTGAGAGCCTCAGAAAGACAAAAATTAAAAGAAGAAACAAACCGTAGGAGCCAGAAGGCCCGTTACACCCAGATATGGCCACATAAAGGTCTCATGACGCCCTCACGAAATAAACAAAGACAGCGGATACATGTAATTCGGTTCCTCTCTCTCACCTCTTCTTTCAAAGTTCGTTTTCCCTTAAACGAAAGGAAACACTATCTTTTTTCCTGTCTAGTTACACTTTAAAAAAATCTTCATTGTTTTTTTTTGTGAAAAAAATAACATTAAAAAATAAAACCCTTGTTTACAGTAGACCCCCTCGTTGCATGCGAATAGAAAATTGGTCAACATGAATAAACGAAAGGTGCATGATAAGTTCTAAAGTTCCTTTATTCTTGTCTTTCAAGAAATAACAGTACTATAATCAATTCATTTTTTCTTTCCAATTGGGACGGGTCTTTTTATGTTCTATTTCAGTTTTTTCTTCCATTCGGTGTTAAAGAGACACTTTTTTGTTTGGGTTTTTACTATATGATAGAGAGTTTACTTAATATACGATGGAGTACAATTTGCACCGGGAAGTCGCGCAACGCCTGCTTTTGCCACGCCTTCTTTTTACAGCTAGAATCTCTAAACATTTTTGGCGCGCAAACATAAATGGCTCTCGCATTTTTGCCTCCGTGTTTCTCGGTGAACTATTGATGCCGTCGCTCAACGCAAAATTACCCACATGATGGTGTAGGCTAAGTGATTTAGCTATAAACACACAAAGTTTTAATCGGGAGCAGGTCAGAAGTTAAGCTAAGGAGGTCGTAAATTAGATATTTAAAGTTTTGAAGATCTATTTACCCATTCATATATTTGCTTATTTTTTGTGCTCATGAACAGCTTGAAGCCTTGATAATGATGCACAATTAACATACAGCAAAAAGAAGAAGAATTCTACAAATTGACAATAGAAAACTTGAACGCTACAAAAGATGGTTATAGGTTTGTAAGAGAAAACTTGAACGCTGCAAAAGATGGTTAAAAAATGTCAACGCAAGAATCGTTGAAAGTATTATACAAGGTCTGAATACGTGTCATGGGGCAGGTTCGGAAGAATTCATTATCATAAAATGGAAGAGAAATTCGCAAAAATCTTCTCGGAACATGAATATTTATCGATGAAGTTAGATCAGGGGAATCAATGACTCCGTGAAGGCATTTGAACAAAAATATGAGATCTCTGTCGCGTCGTCTGGCACTCAAAGTAGAACAATTGTAGCGCTCTAAAAGTCTTCTATATTCAAAGTAAACAGTGCAACCAACATACCGGACGTAAAAAGTTCGAAAACAAAAACGTTTCTGGACATTTTAAATCGACTCTTGGTGCGTACGCCCAATAGAATTCCACACAACTGAAGAAAACTCTAGCTTAGACCTAATTAATGAAAAGTATAACTGCATAATACAGGCCGAAATGAAAAACTCACGTGTAATTCTGGATATGACACCTGACGTACAAAAAGACGCGTTGACAATGTTGTTGACATGCGTTTTAAATGACAGAGAAGAGTCTATATAAACTCCAAGATCACGAGTGTAATCCACCCTTTTCAATGGGGCATTGCCGAGTTGGTAGCAGAAATGAAAAGGCCTTAGCTCCTTAGCGAATGACATAGCAAGTGTCCTAGTGGGATTAATTGTCAGCCTGTTGAGGCTACACCAAATACTCACTGGTTTTACATCATTTAGGTTCACACAGTCCTCTACGTATACTATCTGCCTAAATAACTTGATGTCATCGGCGTATTGGAGGATTTCTGAATTTAGAACACATGAGCGAAGGTCGTTTATAAAAACATTGAAAAGAATCGGCCCAAGAATGGACCACTGGGGAACACCAGATGTAAACCAAACTGTGAGACATATAAGAGGACACTGCATATACTTAAACTGTTGCAATTTCGTCCCAACACTCGGTCTTTCGGAGGGTTCTGGAATTCTTACTCTTTTGTAATTAACGAATCTACACCTCCATCAAAAGTTTCAGAGGGCGACCTATTTTGGTGAGTTATAAAACTAAATTGTCGCGAACCCACGGGCTCCTAGCACAAATTCAAGCATGTACAACAAATGCGCAGTAATCGTGTAGATTTTGCAGAAAAACAATATTTGATTATATCATTGCAGCAATGTTTTTGCGTCTCGAAACAGGTTTCACAGATGACGACAGATAATCAACAAATCTGCTAGAACTTGTGATCGGTTGTCCTGACGCCACGCGTCAAGAACGACGACACATAGAACTAAGCACCGCAAGCGACGGCAGGGCGCGCTCCCGTGTGAGGGTCGTTGCTCCGAAGGAGTTATTTCAAGGTATGGCCAGGCCGAAGCTCGTCCCTACGCTCTTGGCTTTTAGGCCCCGGATCATAGCTCGGGTTTTTTGGGCGCTAATAAATCCTTGCTTTGCTCAAAGGAAGAAACGTCATGGCATGGTCAATCACCAGGATGGACGGAGAAAGTCGAGAGAGGAAACAAACTACATGAAAGATACATCCCCTGCATACAAGGAAATATTGCTGAATTTCCTAAAAGAGGCAGACGCACACATTAGGCAGCGGGGCTGAGTCAGCGTCTTTCTTTGACTATTGTTCAATGAGTGAGAACAAGAGTTCAAGCCAAACGCTGAAGCGGCACCGATGTCCAACATGTGCAATCGCGTGGGTCTAAGGTAGGGGGCGTAAAAGATCCAGCACTAAACCCTTAAATCTATAGGAAAATCGAAAAGTACAACTTTCGAAATGTTGAGAAACTCTGCAACTTCAACCCGTCACTGGAGTTAAGGAACACCAATTAGTTTCTCTCTATCTAAGGAGTTTACTTGTCGAGCACTTGGAAAACTAGTACATTCTATATATCGTTTCCCCGTGTGAACTTTACGTAGCCGTTAATTGTTGTAGATCACTTACTCTCATAAAGAAGATTTCTGAAGAGCTCCCAACCGTTGTCGTGCATCTCATGAGCCAGCTGTTTCGGTGTCATTTTCGAGCGCACCCAATTGGAAAGGGCCATCAGCAGCGCCAGAATGGGAATAGCGCTTAGGATGAGGGCCCAGACCTGCGCGTAGGATTGGCACAAAACTTTGCGTCACTCGTGATAGCGATTGTGTAAGGCACAATCAAGTTTGAAAACTTCGCTGCAATATTTGTGATAATTTGCGCAGATACCGCTTATACCGATCGATTGTATGGTTGTCTTTTTTTGAACCGTGTCCTGGTAAAAATATTGCTCATGACGTGTAAGATGACCTCCGATTGACAAGTCCATGGTACCTACTCGCTTCAGGTATGTTGTCTCCGGTAGTTTGAAAACTGTGCTTGCGACGTATTAAGTTCGATTTTTCTAAAACGCGTCTTAAGTTTGAGCTGAAAACATACCTATCTGCATTTTTTTTTTTTTTTTTTTTTATGATGGAAACAAGTTTTAGGATTAGTTCATAGCACTGCAATGAATGGGCATATAAGAAAGAGTTTCACTTTCCTTGTTTACGCCATTAAAACGTAACTGTGGCAGACAATACAGAGGGGTAGAAGTTTTCGAGGTAGTGTATAGTCGTGCATGGTCATGAAGCCCGCAGTACCTTCCAGTCAAACGTGAGAATGTAGCCGAAGACGTTGGATGTGCCCACTCCAGATCCAGACAGAATGCCAAACTGCACGTACATGATGGGCGGTCCGTAGTGACCCACTTGCATCCGACTGTACGACTGGATCATGGGTGCCATGGTCATGTCAACCTCCTGAACAAATGCCGTTCATGACCCTCAGTGTTAGAGCTATGAATCAGATTTTAGCGCAATGCATGTGTTGATGAATTGTTCCTTTGCGCACTATATGTGTCATCTGGCAAAGGTCATCAGTTTATGGTTGGAGCGCCAGCATGTCGTACAAACAACTACTTTGACTCCTTCATCCCGAGAACATCGAACGAGTGGAACCACCTTTCTGACTCCATTACTGCCTCTTTAAAGTCACCCATTGGTAGAAACACGAAAACGATGTTAAATGTGACAACCATCCCTGATTACAATGCCTGAGGGTCTTGAGAGCAAGATAATGAATAAATAAATAAAAAAAGTCTTTGACACCATGATAAAAAAGGAAACATAAAATAAGAGCGAATTTTCGGTCAGTCTTATCTGTGTCTGCCGCCGAATTTAAAAAAAAAAAGACTCATCTTCTTCTCTGATGCCGTCATTAAATGTCCTGGTTTGTGATGTCTAATCTACTATGCGGAATCAAGTGTCGAGGCTTAAGATTTTGAGGCCGGGACAACTGCTAGAAGCCATTGCCGAAGCTTCTATCTATGGGTATGACGGGGAAAAAGAAAGCTTTCCTTGTTTTTAGGTATTCCTGAAATATAAAACCATTAAGGTATTTTCGAAGAACTTCGATGATGGTCTTGCACGCCTAAAGGAGGTTTCGCTTCGAAAAGTTTGTGTAAAAACGGCGGTCACTCTGGCTGTCCGCGCCAAAATGATTCACACCATGGCATTTACCTGCTGTCCCTCCTGTCCCGCCCCAGTCCGGAAGGCGAATCACGAGCAGGTCCTCGGGACGTGCCCTAGCCTTCAAGTGGCTCGTCGGTGCCATCTTGGAGGATGGGAATTAATCCTAACCGGCCTCAAGGCTTTCAACAATGAACACATGGGCCACTACACCCCTCTCTTGTGGACTTTTTGCAGAAAATGGAAACACAAGATTACCTCTGACCCACGACGCATAAAAAACTGACGTACTTAAAAAAAAGAAAAAAAATACCCAATATTTTTTGTTTTTATATTAACACCCGTGAATGCTACTACGCTTGCAAATAAATCGTATGCTGCTAAGCGTAGATAGGTCACACATGGCACTGTGGTTTTGCGAAACATGAAAGCCCCAAAAGCGCCAAGGTGAGACCACGCGTGATGTTCTTTGATATGAGTCTGGTTTACCCTTGCCCTAAATTGCCAAACAAGTGCTAGCGTTAGGCTTCACTGAATCATTGTTTCTTTGTCACTTTTTGTTTGTTTTTGTAGGTCTCAGTTCCAGATGAAATGCCTGAATTAGTTTTCACATCTGGTTGTTCGGTTTTCAATTTGCAACATTGGGCTTAAACTTAAAAAAAAAAAAAAAAGTGCCCGTTTTTGGCTGCGCCGTTGATTGTTTGGTTGGTCTCTGGGACAATTTTAATGTTTGGAACTTTGGTAGTTACTGTGAGAACCTTAGAAGAGCCATAGAAAAGCTAGTCAAGTAGTTTGGACCTAACTAACGGCTTGGAGCAGAGCACTATTATACTAAAGTTGTACCCTAGGAGTTCAAACATTTTGACTAAGTTTGGCGTTTTTCTTGCGTTCTTGACTTGATGAGCGTGATTTGGCCACCGGGTGATGCTTGGGACGTTCTGACTCTCTGCACGACGGTCCATTCGCGTCGCTCAAGCGGAGTTATGCTTCCGGAGGTTATGTCTTGTATAGGTTGAGTGGCGCGCCGTCGTGTGCGGGGCGGGCGATGCCTGGGCGTTGTCTGCGGGCTGATTGCTGTGGGGTCTGTGGGCGGTGTGGCTTCAGCTTTAGACGTTTTTTTTATTATGTTCCGTTATAGGTAGGGAAAGCTGGGGAGAAGGGGGAGACATTGAGGCGTATGGCTGCATCTATATGTTTATATTGTTTAATTTTATGTCGGAAATATTCCATCCAATGATAATGGAGTAGCGGGTCACGCCTAAGAATGACTAACATCTCCATTTATTATTTTTAACACGTATTGAAGAAGAAGAAGAGCAGGCGACACTCTCGAATACTTTATTACGGAATATTTTCCCACTTGTGAAAATCACTATTACCGTTACATCCTTCCGACATTCATCGATACCTGAACTTAGTGTTGGTTTACATAATATATATACCAAAAAACAAGTCACTCCGCGATAGCCCATTAGAATCAGTCACAGTAACGTTGTATGCGCTCCACGTATTTGTGCCGCCATCCGTAAATACGAAGACAGGCAGGTAGTGACAATGGTTCATATGTAAACAGGAGTCAAATCGGGACTTCACAAGTCCCGATTTCACTCCCGAAGGATTGATTAGAATCAATAATGATTCTAACACATCATAGGCATTTGCTATCACGCTCTCATTGCATTTCAATCGTGTTTTTTCTGTGTGCGTTTATCTCTAGTGGTGCGTCTGGTATATCGCCTCTCAAACGTCATCAACCATACTATTATGTGGAGTTTGCTTCTAAGAATATCTCACTGGAAAAAGCATCAATGTTTAAAACGCGAGAATGTGATTCAGTATCGCAAGGATTTTAAGAATCTGCGTTTTGTGTCTAATTCTCGGTGCCTATATTGTCACGGGTGGTGACCAAAAAAACAGGAAATAAAAAGGAAGAAATAAACTTTTAATGTGGCGAACTTGTGCCAAAAATAAAAGTGTACAAAAGATAATAACAGAGCGTCGCGGGCGTCGAAGTCGGCGAGACAGCAGAGTCGAGTGCTGGGGCGAAACTGACTCCTGCTTGCCAGGCGAGCCGCTTTTTTACACGCGTTGCCTTCTGGAGCATTCGATGTAGAAGGTTCGACGCGTGGAACATTCCAACCTCGAATCAGCTAGACGGTTCTCGAATTTACTAGAACATCACATTACAGTGTAAACAAATATCCGTAGCCGCGGCCAGGAATCGAACCCTGGCCATTCGCGTATGAGGAAAGCGCGATAACCGTTAGGCTACGGCCGCGCTGCCTACTTGGCGCGCGGCATTACTCCCCCCTCAAAAGTGCATCGCCTCGATGCAAAACAAAACAAAACAAAGCACAAAAAAGAACGGCAAACTAAAGAGTCATTTGAAACACATAAGATCCACAGTCCTATCGAGCGTAGTACGGCTGCAGGCGCACGACGTTGACGACTTCAGGTCGTGGTGGGCGGCGTGATGATGTCCTTGTTCCGTCGGGCATCACCTCGCAGTTGAGCGCGCCGAGGCGACGAAGTACCTCGTATGGTCCAAAGTACCGTTTCAGCAGTTTCTCACTGAGGCCGCGGCGACGGATGGGCGTCCACACCCACATCCTGTCTCCGGGCTGGAAGTGAACGTCCCTGCGACGAAGGTTGTAGCGGCCCGCGTCGACGCGTTGCTGGTCTTGAATCATGAGTCGGGCGAGCTGGCGGGCTTCTTCGGCGTGTTGAGCAACCGCCTGGGCGTCGTCGCTCTCATTGTCAGATGGCTCATGGGGCAGCATTGCGTCCAGCATGGTCGTTACCTCCCGACCATGTACCAGCTGGAAAGGGGTGAATCCAGTGGTCTCCTGAACGGCCGTATTGTAGGCGAACGTGGCGTAGGGCAACACCTCGTCCCACGTCTTGTGCTCTACGTCGACGTACATAGAGATCATATCGGCGATTGTCTTGTTGAGTCGCTCGGTCAGCCCGTTGGTCTGCGGGTGGTATGCAGTGGTTCGACGATGGCCGGTGCCACTGAGACGAAGGATCTCTTGCGTCAGCTGGGCCATGAACGAAGATCCACGGTCTGTAATGAGGACTTCAAGGGCGCCGTGCCGGAGGACAATGGACTCAATGAAAAACTTGGCGAGACTTCAACAGCCGTGCCTGCTGGAAGGGCTTTCGTCTCGGCGTATCGTGTGAGATAATCGGTGGCGACGATAATCCAGCGGTTTCCCGACGTTGACGATGGGAAAGGGCCAAGTAAATCCATTCCGATCTGCTGGAACGGCATAGACGGGGGAGAAATCGGATGCAGGAGTCCTGACGGCTTCGTTGGCGGTTTCTCGCGTCGCTGACACTCGTGGCATGATCGAATGTATGGGTGAACGGTCTTCCGTAGCCTCAGCCAGTAGTACTTTTCTCGAATCCTGGCGAGCGTCCTGCTGGAGCCAAGGTGTCCAGCCGTTGGGTCGTCATGGCATCCTTGGAATATTTCGTCTCGAAGGCTGGCTGGAACAACCAACAGCCATGCTGTGTAGTTGTTCACGAAGTTCTCCTCGTACAGCACCCCTCGCCGCATGGAGAATGTATGCAGGATTCTTAAGAAAGAACGGGGAACCGAACTCGCTTGTCCCTCTAAGTGCTCGATGAGCGCTCGCAGTTCAGGGTCGTCTCGTTGGAGTGCTGCCATGTCGCTGACGTCCAAAGCGCCGAGGAAACACTCATCGTCGTCGTCTTCGATACAGGCAGGACCGGCCTCGACAGGAGCTCTTGACAGACAGTCGGCGTCATGGTGCTTCCGGCCGGACTTGTAGACAACGGTCATGTCGAACTCCTGCAGTCGTAGGCTCCACCGGGCCAGGCGTCCGGAGGGGTCTTTCAGATTCGCGAGCCAGCAGAGCGAGTGGTGGTCCGTGACCACGCGAAAAGGACTTCCATACAGATATGGGCGAAACTTTGTTATTGCCCAGACGACAGCAAGGCACTCCTTTTCAGTTGCAGAGTAGTTCCTCTCCGCCTTAGACAGCGTCCGACTCGCGTATGCGATGACTCGCTCTGCCCCATCCGGCCTTTGAACAAGCACCGCGCCAAGTCCGGTGTTACTGGCGTTCGTGTGAATCTCTGTATCAGCGAACTGGTCGAAATGGCCGAGAATCGGGGGCGTCTGGAGTCTTCGTTTCAGCTCATCGAATGACCGCTGGTGTTCGTCTGTCCATTCGAACTCTACGGCGTCCTTCGTGAGGTGCGTCAGCGGTGCGGACAGCTTGGCGAAGTTCCGAACAAATCGTCTGGAGTAGGCACAAAGACCGAGGAATCTTCTCACGGCCTTCCTGTCAGAGGGCGGCGTAAATGCAGCCACGGCGCGGGTCTTCTCAGGGTCAGGGAGAACACCTTTGTTGCTCACGACGTGGCCAAGGAACTTAGCTCACCATAGGCGAATCGACACTTTGTTGGCTTGAGTGACAGGCCGGCGGTCTTGATGGCTTGAAGCACGGCTCGAAGTCGTTTCAGGTGCTCGTCGAAATCTCGTGAAAATACCACGACATCGTCGAGGTAGACGAGGCAGCTCTGCCATTTCAGACCTGCCAGCACGGTGTCCATGATACGCTGGAAGGTGGCTGGCGCAGTACAAAGCCCGAACGGCATCACTTTGAATTCGTACAGTCTGTCGGGAGTGACGAAGGCAGTTTTCTCCCGGTCGCGTTCGTCGACTTCAATCTGCCAGTAGCCACTCTTCAGATCCGTCGACGAAAAGTATTGGGAGTGGCGGAGTCGGTCTAACGTATCGTCGATGCGGGGGAGCGGATAGACGTCCTTCTTCGTCACAGTGTTCAGTCGACGATAGTCCACGCAGAACCGCAGATTTCCGTCCTTCTTCTTTACAAGGACGACTGGGGACGCCCATGGACTTCTTGAGGGTTGAATGATGTCGTCGTCGAGCATTTCTTGGACTTCATCCTGAATCACCTTCCTTTCCTTTAAGGAGACTCGATACGGCGACTGGTGGACAGGGAGTGCGTCGTTGTGGGTAATAACGCGATGTTTCGCCATTGGCGTTTGGCGAACTTTCGACGACGTGGCAAAACAGTCACGGTATTCAGCGAGGAGATCAACCAGTTGCCGGCGCTTAGGAGCTGGGAGCTCGGGGTCAATGTCGATCGGCGGCGGCGGCGTGCTGTTCTGCTGTGACGACGAGGTTTGTTCGGAGATTGCGGTGACCACGACTGGTGCTTGAAGCTCCTCAATGTGACCCACAGTGGTACCCTTCGTTAGGTGCTGCGGCTCCTCTCGGAAGTTTGTCACAAGAACAGTTGTACGTCCTTCTTGGAGATCCGTTACGCCTCGTGCGACGCCAATTCCTTTCTCAAGGAGCAGTTGGACGCTGCCTTCCAGAAGAGCTTCACCGTATATGGCTGCGTCGGTTATAACGGTGACGAAAACACTCGACCGCGGCGGTAAGTTCAGATGGTTGGCGATAACTCTGATTGTGGTTGACGTCGTGTTGGTCTCCACCGGCGGTAAAACAGGCTTTCGCAGCGTCAGCTGGTTTGCCCCGAGGTCGATGACGGCGCCATACTCGCAGAGAAAGTCCATTCCGAGGATAACGTCCCTTGAACAGTCTTGCAGAACGACGAACTTCACAGGGCACGTCTCACCGTGGATCTCGACGCGAGCAGTGCATCTCCCGACTGGTGTGATGAGGTGCCCTCCGGCGGTTCGTATTTGTGGTTCATCCCACGGCGTGGTGACTTTTCGAAGGCGGCGGGAGAGCCTCCCACTCAAGACGGAGTAGCCTGCTCCGGTGTCCACGAGTGCTGATGCGTCGTGCCCGTCAATGACGACATTTAGGTTATTGTACACCGCTGCCGAGGCGTCGTTTCGGTCTCTGGTAGCGTTCGAGTGGGGGCCCTCCGACGTTCGTGGAGGATCTTGGCGTCGGTCGTCTTCGGCAACTCCACCTCCAGGGGTTGCCGCGCCTAGTTTCCGCGGCGTGAGCGATGGGCGACATGCTTTTACGTCGGGGTCGGTGCATCGGCGAAGCTGGACGTCGTGGCGAAGGCGACCGGAACTCTCGGCGGGACGCAGGCTCGGGGGACTGAAGTCGTCACAGGTACTCGTCGATCTCCCGAGGGCGCTCACCATACCGGGGGCGCGGGTCGTTAGGGCGGAATCCGCGCAGCCCAAGTCGTCGGTATGGGCATCGGCGGTACACATGGTCAGCTTCCCCGCAGTGGTAACACTGCGGGCGTCGGTCGGGCGTTCGCCACATATCGGTCTTCCGGGGTGTACGGGGTTTCTGGCTGGCGTACTGGAACTGGTCGTCGCGGCGTCGGTCGTGCTGCGGCGCAGGAGACTGACGTCGGGGCGGCGCAACATAGGTGCGAGGAGGAGGCGGTGGCCGTCGGGGCACTGCGCCGTAGGTCAGGGTGGGCTCCTCGGGTGCAGCTACGCTGGCAGGAGCCTCCGGTTGAATTGCCTGCTGAACTTCTTCGCGCACCACTTCGGCTATCGACAGCGAAACTGGCTGGTTGGCAGCAGGCAGCAGCTTCCGAAGCTCCTCCCGGACAACGTCTCGAAAGACCTCGCGGATGCCCGGGATACTGGAGGCAAGCTCGCAGCTAGACGGAGCGAGAGCAGCGAGGCCGGGTGGTCGATGGTAGTGGCTGGCTCGGGCTTGCAGGGCACCCTCGATGTTCGTCGCCTCGGCGACAAAGTCTTCGACAGTTGTCGGAGGGCTGCGGACGAGGCCACCAAAGATGTTTTCTCTCAAGCCCCGCATGAGGATTCGTAGCTTCTTCCCTTCTGTAGCCCGAGGGTCGGCGCGGGCGCTCAGGCGGAGGACGTCCTCTACGAAGCCGGTGACACTCTCGTTGGGGCCCTGGGTTCTGGTTCACAGTAGGTCCTCGGCTCTCTCTCGGCGGTGGGGGTTGATGAAGGTAGCCTTGAGATCGGTCTTGAAAATGTCCCACAACGTCAGGGAGGACTCATGATTCTCGTACCAGTGCTTGGCGCTTTCCTCAAGCGAAAACCAGGCATTGTGCAGGCGCTGCTCGTCTGTCCAGCAATTGTGGCGGGCAACGCGTTCATACTGGTCAATCCAGTCTTCGACGTCTTCGTACTGTTCGCCGTGGAATGGAGCCGGTGTTCGAGGAGCGACGGGTAGGTAGACGACGGCAGGAGCGGCGGGGGTCTGCGACTGGTTGGCCATCGTCGGCTGCCTGGTCCTGGGTGGTAAAACTCCGCATTCCGGGTGTAGCCCTTGGGTTCGGCGACTTGATCGAGTCTCGATCTGGTCTTCGTTGGGTCCTCGGGAGCTTTCGTTCGGACTTGTAGCGCGGGAACTCGGAGGGCTGCGCTGCACGGACATGCGGTACCCCGCACCTCCACCAAAATGTCACGGGTGGTGACCAAAAAAACAGGAAATAAATGGAAGAAATAAACGTTTAATGTGGCGAACTTGTGCCAAAAATAAAAGGGTACAAAATATAATAACAGAGCGTCGCGGGCGTCGAAGTCGGCGAGACAGCAGAGTCGAGCGCTGGGGCGAAACTACTCCTGCTTGCCAGGCGGAGCCGCTTTTGTACACGCGTTGACTTCTGGAGCATTTGATGTAGAAGGTTCGACGCGTAGAACATTCCAACCTCGAATCAGCTAGACGGTTCTCGAATTTACTAGAACATCACATTACAGTATAAACAAATATCCGTAGCCGCGGCCAGGAATCGAACCCTGGCCATTTGCGTTTGAGGAAAGCGCGATAACCGTTAGGCTACGGCCGCGCTGCCTACTTGGCGCGCGGCAATATCAACTAGACCCGTTTAAACTTGTTTTATTTTTTGTTCGCACATTATTTCTTATTGTTTCTGCAGATTACATAACTAGCCAAAAGTTTACTTCGTGCTTTCGGTTTCGCGGAAAGACATGACCTGAAAGGCTTCTTGTCTCTCCCGTTGTTCTTACTTTTAGTTTATAACGCTATGACCGCGACAATATGGATGTAATTCAACATAGCTCAAGACAGTGTTTTAACGCGCATAGTCACGAATGTTATGGAACTCATTGTAATGTGAATAGTTTAGGCAGGAAGAGGAGCAAATTCAGCGTACCCGGCGTTGAACATTTCCCACAGCTCCCGTCCAGGATCCGTTGGGAAGACGGATGCCCATTTGGCCATCCGCAGGGAGCTTGGCTTCGTACCTGCCACCGGGTTAGATGACACGTCAGAAGATTGATTCAGTGATATCGTATATTCTCCGTAAACAAAGTAGTTCTTGGTACGCTCCAAAGTAGCGGCAGCATTTCTTGTTCTGAAATCGTTCAATATATGATAGAAAATGGCGAAACAAATTAACGTTCATAGCTCGCCCATTTTAGAAAATATAATGGATAGAAATGTTGAAATGAAAAATAGTTGTCTAGAAAATGCATTTCTCTGTAGTAGATCCTATCGATAAGATCTGAGGAATAACAATAGATTTCTTTGACACCTTAAACTAAAAATTAACGTGAAGAAAATAATTGTTTTGGAATGTTATAATCGTATGCGCCGCTTGGCTGATACAGCTTTATAGACCTTTGCAAAAAGAGCTCTCTGGCCGCCGCCACTTTCCGAATCGAGCGGCCCCTATCAGCCAAATTATTCTGCCACCCGCCTGAGCTGTGGAAACCCGGTCAGCGTGTCTCCCAACCTGCATTGTGCATTCCGAGTTTGCTGGCTTTTCTTGGAAGTTTTTATTTGCCTGCTCGGCCCTCGCAGGAAACGAACGAAGAGAGCGACCGTCAATCAGCCCGCGACGCGGGTAGTTAGACGTTATTGGAGGATTATTTCCGTTGAGATGATCTCCAAAAAGCCTTCCCGGCTATGTTCCGGGTCTTCGCAAAAAATAGCTAGGTAGTGTCGGGTCCGGACTGTGGGGAAGGAATAATAGACACGTTCGTTGATTTGCTTTGAAGTTGTGCAAAAAAGCAGCTCTCTACGTCACGTGCCCCAAAACACGCCGGATTCCGTCCGATCATCGTGAAGTGACTATTGTCGACATTGTATATTGGTAATGCTGTGTTATTTGAGGCCTGTCTCAAGTCCTGTTCGGATAACGCGGCACCGTGAGGTACGTACAATGTATGTTGTTCGTTCGTTCAATTTTATGTTGTGGTCGGAGAATACCCATGCAGTTAGGATATCCTCTGTGGTCAAATGTTTTCGACGGTTAAGGCCTTTGTAGACTGACACGGCCCAGTGTATGGTGCCGTAAAAATATCAACATAAAATAATACAAATATTCCAGTTTCGTTTGTTCTGTCGCGCACGCATTCACCAAAACAGCTTTCATTTTGTTGTTTTTGTTCCTAAAAATAGTACAATGCATTCTTAATAACCCCGATAAATACACTTCGCCATAGAACACAAAATAAAAAATAAAACGCGGCAATTTAGCCTCCACGACCGCCCAGAAGTGGGCCCACAGAGGCTGCCACAGCTCACTGTCTAGAAAACCCACGGCCCAGCGCAGTCGGGCAACACTGACGTACCCTTTCAAAACCAGGGACGCACGCTGTAAATCGCTTCGTTCGAGACTGCCGCTGGAAAGGTCTATTGTAGCAAACGAGTTTACATACGTTAAAAACTAAAAGGAGCTCGGAGTTTCGTTTGTACGAACAGCCCAGTAACCAATACCGTAAACAAGGAATACTAGAAAGTTAGTGGAGATCTCCCCAATTAACTGCATTGTTGTCCTTTTCGAGAACTCCCGGTGGTATCAAAAATCGCGAGATCGCTGCTAGCCTCCTCCACCACTACGAAGAACGCAAAAAAGCTATTCGACCGTCGAGCCGGACTGAAACCTTTAGATGACAGTAATCCTTCCACTTCAGTCAACTGCTCAACCGATTGAGCTATCAATGGAACAGATTCGGGTGAATTGAAGAGGCAATACTTTCTATTTCTTCCAAACTTCAACAACTTTTTCGGCGTCTCGCTTGCCTCGGGCATGGAGGTGATGCCAGAACACGCCGAAATGCAGCGTGAACGTGTTGGAAGCCGGGTGTTCGAGAAAGACGCCCTGGCATTTTCTGTCTGCAGCAGTGGGGATCCCGTTGTGCCAGCACAGGCACGGCACCATCCGAGCAGACGAAAGTGCTCAGGGTAGTGCAAGACTTCGGAAGGTTCGCAGCTACTCCGAAGAAAAATTTGTTTAGTTTATTACCATTGTTGTTTGGGCTAGTTGGTATTTATGGTTAAAAATTAAAAACAAAAAAAAAATTCCCAAAGACATGGGCAAGAACGGAAAGGTAGACGAACAAGTTACGGTCTGCTGAGGAGGCTCGACCTATACGAAGTACAAATGAGGCACCGTAGCGGAGTCGACAGCTGAAGCGAAAATGGCGTATACATCCTCAGTACCGTGCTCAGGAGGCGGAGGAGAAACAAAAATGGCGCCACGAAACTAGCGAATTACACAAGCGCCAATCTGCTGTCTCTTTGACACACTTTATGCGGTAACGTAAATACGCGGATTTTTTTATGACTTTAATAAATTAAACATTTAATGAAATTATATGTCGACGACCTTAGGATTATTTTTTTCAATATAAGAAGGCTTTCTGTCAAAGATATACTTTTTGGCGTTCTAATTGTATAATAATTGGTAGCATTTTTTTGTTGAGAGTCTATTCTCTTGAAACAGATTCTTGCTTTGCAAAAGTTTGCGGAGGTCATGATTCAGAAAGGGTTTGGTACTTTAAGCCAGTTAGATTACAATTCAGACAACTTGCTGCATAGTAGCCAACCATATGCTGTGTAACGCCTATGGCACAAGCAGGCGGATACAGCAGGTTATAAGCTGAGATAAACGAAAGATGAAATTTGGTAAGAAAAAAAGTGACACTGCAACCACTCACTCGTTTTGTCATTTAAATTGTGCTCACAAAAGGTCCCTTTATCTTCTCTTCCTTGAAACACACAAGAAATATGGGATCCTTGAAATTTATTTTATCACATTTCAGTACCACGAGAGGCGATATCGTCTTGGTCAACGTGATCTCCTTGTCTTCCCCTAAAATGCACTATCTCAGCAAATTTGGAGTTGCAAATGTTACTTCAATTAAACATTTTATGAATCCTAGTCACCTGTAGAAAACATGGTTCTCTTTTCTAGACCATGTGGTGTCTTCATTTTAAGAGTCTTCACAAAGTCGTTTGTTTATTTTTCTGTAAATCTTTATCTAGCAACTAGAACTAAAAAGGTAAAAGTAAACATAGAGAGGTATATTTTCTACACAATTCTAGTTGTTAAATCGCCTCATAAATTTAACGACTGTCTCTGCTTAAGGAGTTTGCTATTTAATATTACCTGAAATTAAATGACATTCAAGCGCTCTTGCGTATGAATAGTCTGTCAATTACGTTATCTTTCAGTTAAGATATTTGCAATATTTGTTTTTCGTACGGTTCAGAGGCAGAAGTTTTAAAAACTAACAATATGCGCACAAGGGCACTATTTACCTAATTACAAAAAAAAAAAAAAATAAACGACAGCATAAAATTTTTAGAAGAATAGTTTGGGTACCGCATTGTAATTACAGATCTTAGCTAATTTTAACGACACACAACAGTTTCACAAATTGACTTGTGGACAATATTTTGAAGACAACATTGTGGAGGCTCGAACAAGATAGATCTTAGGATAAAAAAAGAGCGAGATGAGATCACTGTAGAGGCTCACGTCATGTTGAGGCTCTCCGTAATTGCGTCCACCACCATGCCCATTGGACCCGCAATTGCTAGTTTTCCATTCCTTGATCCCACCGATAAATAGGGGGGCCACTGCAAGGAGGTGGAGTATTGTCAATAAAAACAGAAAGGAACTTTATTATCATACACGAGTGTTTTCATATCAATCGAGGCGCATTTCTTTGTTCGAATTTTACTTTGACCAAAATTAATGTGTTTTGGGAGAAATTGGAAGTTAAGAACGGCGGCGGCGAAATTGGCGAAACGGCGAAATTGAGGGATTTTTAGTTTCTACGTATTTGACCACTAAAGAGGCCGAGGGGTAAACTGACATTTCTTCCACCTCTCAGAGATGGAGTTTTTGACCACCAACTATTTTGTCAGTTCTAAAACTACTGCACTCGTACGCTCATGTGGCATTTAAGAACATGGTTTCATTATGCCAAGTTATAAACAATTATGATATATTGGATTTATAAAAAAATTGGAACTCTCTTCCTTCGACCTTGACATCACCAAAAAGCCCAAATATTTGATTTTAATGTTAATATAAATTGGATGTGTTATTTTACAGTATAAATATCGTTGCACACATTTTAAACGAATGTTATGAACATTGAGCAGATTCGAGATCGACCTAAAAAAACGCTTTTTTCATTTTTTTTGGAGGACCAAGGTATGATAATGTTTTTTTTAGAAACTATAAACGCAATATACAGGGTTCTCTGAATATGACCGCAAATAAAGCTTTTATTTTGTAATGTGTCGTTGTAGAACTTCAAGCTCTGTTGCGGAGTGATGTAACTTTTAATCCGCATTACGCAATATTTTACCTATTCTTAAGCTTAAATATTAAGTAAAGCATTAATATTTGGTAATTCACTAAATCCATGCCACAATGTTTTTCATACTCATGGCTTTGACTTTCTCGTGATGTCTCCCATGCTCATTGAACCTACTGGTGTAGAGAGCCTCATTAGATCACTTAAACCTTCTTCGTCTCCTGGATGCGATTCAATTCATCTCAAGTTTTTGAAAAGTACAAGTGTTTATTCTTCTATTATACTTTCTAAGATTTTCAGCAGTCGCTCGACTACGGTTATCTTCCTGGGGAATGGAAGGTCGGGAAGGTGATTCCACTCCATAAATCAGGTAGCAAGTCTTCTCCCCTCAATTACCGACCCATCTCACTAACCAACATTCCTTGTAAACTTCTGAGCACATTCTGTTTTCGCATCTCGTTACATTCCTTGAATCAAACTGCTTTTTTACACCTTCACAGCATGGTTTCCGCAAAACTTACTCCTGTGAAAATCAATTGGTCTCATTTACGCATAAACTAAACCTCATTCTTGACATTTCCTCATTTGCCGATTGCATTTTTTTAGACTTCTCTAAAGCATTTGACAAGGTATGCCACAAACTTTAACTATATAAAGTACACCAACTTAACCTTGATCACAAACTTCTTACATAGATTGAATGTTTCCTTCTTAACCGTTCACAGTTTGTTTCAGTTAATAACGCTAAGTCGCAGCCAACCGGTGTTTACTCTGGTGTGCCACAGGGTTCTGTTCTTGGTCCTCTCCTTTTCCTTATCTACATAAACGATCTTCCTTCTTGCGTTTCTTCTAACATTCTCGTGTTTGCCGATGAGTGCGTGGTTTTTCGTCAAATATCTCGTGACGACGATATAACTAATCTTCAGTCGGATCTTAATGCCATCTCTGAATGGTGTAAAGCATGGTATATGGACCTAAACGTTAATAAATGCAAATATATGCGCGTATCTAGAAAAGCAAATAGTTTTCCCACCTACTTTCTAAATCACCGTCCCCTTGATGCCGTCACTTTTTACAAATACCTTGGTATTTACATTACAGCCGATCTCACCTGGAACGCTCACATCTCTTATGTTACTAACAACGATAACAGAATGCTTGGGTAAATCCGACGTAACTTTTCAAAAGCCCCTTCGTCATTAAAACTTTTGATATATAAAACACTAATCCGTTCAAAACTTGAATATGCGTCATCTGTGTGGGATCTTTATCAAGAAAATTTAATAGGTTCACTTGAAATGGTTCAAAATATTTCAGTTCGTTTTATCCTATCTAACTATAACAGAACTGCCAGCATAAGCTTAATGAAATCTAGCCTCAACCTACCAACTCTAGCATCTCGCCATAAATTACTTCGACTATGTCTATTTCACAAGCTCTTCCATCACCCATATCTGCGCCACGATATTATTTTTCCTCCCCCGTATATCTCATCCAGGTTGGATCATGCTTTTAAGGTTGGAATTCCACTCTGAAAAACTAACGCTTTTTTTCGGTCCTTTTTCCCACGCACATCAGATGAGCGGAATCGCCTTCCCGCAACTGCGGCAGCCATCGAAGACGACAATCTCTTCAGGAACGCCTTAGCTATCATTGTATGATTAGGAGCCTTTTATTGTCTTCATTAATAACTACGCAATGTTTTACTATCTTATAAAATTTAATCCACTCCCCTCTATAATTCCTCAGGCCTGGAGGGTAAATAAGTAAATAAAAAATAAATAAATAATACCACCTATCGGATGACTCAGTCACAATGCACAACTGAGAAAACCCATGCTTTAATCGTGCCTTGCTCTGCAGAGAGAGTCCTAATAGAAGAACATTGTGTCTCCTATTTGAAATATGAACTACAATTATCCTATTCAATATCACCATGTTTCTTTTTATATGGGCATCAATTTGATGCTTTTGTTTTTAAATCCTTGGTGTAGTTGTGATACTTTTAAGAATAACATATTACAGGTTTACAATAACGTACTAATGAAATAACGTTTTTCGTGAACTATTCAGTAAGGTACACGCTTCCAGTGAAGAATCTATTTCTTTAATAAATTGCTACTCACTGTATTTTTTAAATGATACAATTATTAGGTTATTTTGTTTTATAGGGAGAAAGGGACCAACATTATTAGCAATGTTTGAGATGTACCATCTCAAACATTTGAGATGTGCTGTCTCAAACATAAGCAATTCCGAAATTATAGTAAACTATGCAGATCTACTTAATTTGTGTTCTAGTTTAATACGTTTTACTTCTCACGTGTATAAAAGACACCTTCAATATTCGCTTGCTGGTGATCATCTGAAACAAAAACAAATGAAGGGTCAATTAACATTTGTCACAACTTGTGTCGAGCTTAAACCTCGCTATCATAAAGTTGGCGTTTACTCTCATTTGTCATGTACCAGACTATCTACGTATGTTTTACTCTATTGTCATCAACACCATACTTTTCTCCCTGCACTTACGCCCCACACAATTACTTGGACACTAACGGCGCTATAAGATGTTTGATGAGAAAAACCGGAGTAACCGTTGCTTGAACAAACCAAAGAATGATGGATAGGCCTAACACTTGACAAGCGAGGTACACACTAAAGTGTTACACCTTTGGGGAAAAACAAAAATCCTACTACACATGATTTTCAGAATATAAAAAAGGTTAGCTTAGTTTGACCCGTTTTCAGAGTTTGTATTTTTATTTTCACTAGATACTGTATGTTACATGATACATCACTCTAATTCTATAAAAAACGTGTAATAAATATATTGGTAGTTTCAAAATAACAACTGACAGTGAACCATTAAAATTAGCTTCTACAACCTCCTTCCTGTTTTCACACCTTGAATACACGTTAGGAGTACACGAAAACCGCAAATTGACTGAGAAAGGACATGAAGAAATCAAGCTACTTTTAGTTCAATAACTGACTGGCAGAACGAGCTGTCACGTAATATTCCACTGATTCGTGGACATAACTCACATAACGGTACGACGTCGAGACGTTATAGTTGTCCTATCTTCCTTTTTTATTGTCCCTGTGTCTCTGTATTTTTTTATTCATCTAGTCATATAACGTGCAGATTTTCAGAAATGATAAGAGCTCGGATATTTGGGTCTTCTAATTGATTTATCCCTAATGCAGACCCAAATTTCCGCGGTTGCATTAATTAACAGAGCTAAAAACGAAACATTTGTACCATGTAATTTTAAGAATATAGCTTCATCGATTTTTTTTTATGTTTGAGTCTAAACAGCCGTAGTATTCGTTGAAAGCATTTTTCTTTATTTCTGTGGTTCTTTAATCTACAAAAATCTGGGAAACAAGTTATTTGCACCGGGTTGTAAAAAAATTATTATTAATTTACTTCAGTATGCCTTACCATTGATTTTCTAAAGTGTTCCTCAAGATCATTAAACAATTAATCATGGTAACACCTTAAATATAGCGAGAGCCATAATAAATCTAATCAGGTATCAAGCATCGACAGTAAGATCGCTCAACCTACTCTTCGCAGTTTTTACTCCGCTGATGTCTCATACATATATCAATTTTAGTTGCCTCATGATTATCCAGTGTATATTACAAATAATAGAGAATATATAATTACAATATTTGACCTGATATTTAATGTTAATCAATATTTGTATTTCCTCTTCATTAATTAATTAATTTATTTTTTTATAACTGGTGCTATCTTCTATCTAGGTGAAACTGATCAAAACGGAGTAAATAAATATTAATAAGGTAACTGTTTCTCAGCCACAAATGGATTTGTGAAAACAGAGAAATTTAAAAAAGTACGGCATCAAAAACTGCATTGGAATTTTTTAATAAAAATAAGATTGAATAAAATTGAACAGGTCAAAGTAAAAAAAAATATTTATAAATATAAATATAATATTTTACATGGAAACCGAATTAGCAGGTAAGTGCCTTAAAACAAGCAACAGGACAATTCAGGGCAGGAAGTTTCGCTTGAAGAGAAAGTTAATTAAAATAAACATAGATAGTACCACCTACAGTTACGGTCTATTCTAATCAATTTGATCTTTACGTGAAGAACCGCCTATCCAGCGCAAATTGGGTGACCTGCTTGAATTTGCAAAGTTTTCATGAGAGCGCTCTTGTTGAAAGACCGCGATGTTTATAGAGTCAACAAATCAATCTACATTAATTAATCACAATTAAAAACTATTTGACTAAAGCTTTTATATAATGATTATTATGCAGTCTATTATTGATCAAATAAAAAAAAAATTTGAAAAAATGAGCACCAGAAATTACTCGATAGAATCATAATTCTGGTAAATAAAGAAGATTCCACAATAAACCTCTGCGAGCTAATATCGGCAGGAAATACAAGCGCCGCATATATGGAGATCTATCTTTCATAGGATTTGCACTAAGGTGATGCAATTTCGCTGGTGAATTTCTACGGCATAACTCATTTTTGACCTAAAAATGAGACAAACTTGCCAGGCTAAAGGCGGACTGGTTCGCAGACAACCGAGTTATCGATGCTTGTAACACATAGATAGAGCAGCGCTGCGAGGAGATGACGGAGTACGTCATCTGCACGCTACACCATTTAGAAGATAATATCACGCGTTATAAACATCGCTAACATGGTCATCGGCGAACCCATTCGCCGTTGGGCCTGGCAGTTATGTTGGCCTCCTTTTGGGAAGCTATGCCTTAAAAATTCACGAGCGTAAATCCTCTAGTGGAGATCACATTCTGTGATGGGTAGAGATTTCTATGTGCAGGCGTGGGTTTTTGTGCTTGATTTATAGAGCATATATTTATTAAGGACACCGTTTATAATCAAAAGTTTCAGAAGTAACTGAAAAACGCATTAGCTCGAACTGTAAATTTTAGAATTCTTACCTCCATAATGACGACTGCAACGGTATATCTATTACCTTGGGGTGTCTCTTGTGGTATGAGTCAGTGAAATTGCTGGGCTTATAAAAGTGCTTGAACCTCGCCACCTAAACTGGACATACGGAGGAAGAGAGGTGTACTCTCTTGTGAATACACTCAACATATATAAACAAAATGCAAAAAGAAATGAGTCTCTGGAAAGAACCTAGGCTAGGAACGTCTACATGCCTAATACATCAATAATAGAGGAAACCCAGGTTCGTAATTCCCATTTGGAATGCACGTTTGATGGCCAACTCCTTTGCGGGGAAAGCATTTTGTTGTTCCCTGCCTCCGTGTCGACCGTTACAGTACCCCACATAAGTGCTTTGTTATCGTAGAACAGTATTACGGCGTTCTCTCTTCTACAAAAGTGGCATGTCTTTTTTCGTACATGATAGATTTGGAGTAAATATGTCACGGAAGCAAATAGAAGACAGTCATGTTGGCCTTTAATAGGACTTGTACGTACATCTTAACGGTGAATCTTTTGGTAAGAGCTCCTTCGGCGTAGACATTTGCTCCCGTTATGTTTTTGGCAATACCGAGGGTCGCTTAAGCGACCCATGTGGACATGTTTGATACCAAATAAATATGGATGTCAGTATTGTTAGACACGTTTTGGTAGCGGGAGCTGTAATATAGAATGGTAAAAATTGTAATTTAATTCACGATTTATATTAGTCTGGTTTAATTCACAATTTATATTAGCCTAGCGTTGTAAATAAACCTTTCTCCCGCAAAAAAGAAATTATCGGCAGTGTGTTTATAATTTTATTTCCACGCGCATTAAATTCAGAAATTCATAAATCAAGAAAGATATAGATCAGGCTGAAGCCGAGCGAAAAGCTGCGCTCTCTTGAGCAAATCTAAGCGTTGACCTTCCTTCCTGCCCTAAACTTCGTCTTCAAGTCAGGTGACGTCCTATTCCAGAAATAACAAAATGCTAAAAGTTGTGTGTGCGCTCATAAGTACACACGCACAGACTCTGGCTGAGAGGCTCTAAGAGATACGGAGATACAAAGACAGGCCTAGCCTTACGTCTAAAAAGAGACAATGAAGAAAATTTCGAATATTGTTTTGGTGATTAAAATGTCTCCCAGGCACGTCCCAGGCAATGTTGCCAAAATTTCTGCCGAAACCGGCTCGTTCGTGCCGCTCAAATCAATTAAGCAGTCGCGAGAATTATCCTTCCGGGATCGATGACCGCGACGCCCCGAGAGTTGCGGGAGAAGCAAGGGAGAAGCGGAGTACCCCTGACGTTGCGTGGCCTAGAAGTGCGACGTCACAAGAAACGCGTCAGCGATTGGTCGAAACGAAAGGCGTGGCCTTCGTCATGTTTTGGTTCGCAATTTTCATGAACACTTCGAATTTCCACTTGAATAACCATGCAAATTATAAATCGGACCCGAAATTATCATTAAACCATAAATAAAACATAATTATTTATGTTTCTCTTAGCTACACTGTACGCGAAACGGGCAACAAGCAACTATGGTGCCGTGTTTAGTTTGGGAACACGGCACTCGAATGATTCTACAAAGCGCCCGAACTCACCGGCGAGAGGGGCATAGTCGTCCATGTTGACAGATCCGACGAAACGACCGCGCCACCGCTCTGCTATAACCCACCGCGGTAACCAGAGGCTCTATCTCCTAAATGCCACCGGTACCGTTTATTCATACTTAAGGTCACCCGCTACATCACCTCCGTTTTCAGAGGGCCAGAAATGGGAAAGAAGATAGTTCTGTTTCGGTTTATTTAGTTCTTTCGTAGGCACAGAAGTACGCCTCACAAATGTCTATAAAAAATTGGGCAGTGTCCTAGGTTCCAAAGAAGTTTAAAAACACTAATTAAAAAAAGTAAAAATCATCTTCATTGTCTTTCTAAGAGAGTGGCGTGTATGTGGCAGCCATTAAAAAGTGTCATTTATGTGTTCGTAAACGTTTTGAACTTTGCGAACAAGTTCAATCAACAAAGATTGGGTAGTTTAAGGATATTCAGTTTTATGGTCAATCATCCAACAGCTTTAATGCTTAAAGCCCTGCGAGTAGAGAAGGTAAATGGCGCAATGATTCTGGATAACACAGACAAAAAAAAATGTTATACGGAGAATGCAGGTTTTTTTGTTTTATTTAAGGAGCGTCCCGAAAAACGCAAAAATTTATTTATTTGGTTAGTTCGACGTGAGCGCGTTGGTGAAGTTAAATAAAAACAGAAAGAATAAACATAGGGACGGACAGAACAACACTTGTTTCGACTTTCAACACAAATAGCTTTATTAGGCACCGGCACCCGGGCCCAAGAAACCAGAGACGAAAAGGGGAAGGGCGAAAGGCGAGAACATGGAAAGGTGAGGGGTGGTAGGGAGAGCATAAAGGCATAAAGGCGACACAGACAGGAAAATTACTCGCGGGGAAGAAGAAAGGCCAGGAGAGAAGCCGCAAAGAGGCGAGGCCGCTTGAAACGAAATCACCGGACGGGCGACCTAGGCCCGCGGGGTCCCTGTCAAGGCCATCAACTGCGGGCGAAGGTAGGCCGCGTCCTTCATGGAAAGAGAAAGAGACGGCGCCGAGATATTTCGGGATGCGTGCATTATCGCGAAAGACTCGATTATCTCTCGGCCGTAGCGACCTCGGTTTGAACCTAGGATTCTTGCCGAAGAGAATCCAGGGCAACATGAGGAGCAGGCCCTATTGTGGACGGCAATCGGGTGTAGTGAATCCCTCCCATCGACCTCTCTCTCATGTTCGCGTAACCTGTCGTTAACGCAGTGCCCTGTCTGACCGATATACTGTGCGCCGCAAGACAAGTGTATGGTGTAAACGCGCCCCGTCGCACAGGGAACAAAGCTAGTCCCGTGCTTCTTGGAGCATCCGGACTGGATGGGCGGGGGTTCATTTACGAGGCGACACATAGAACCCAGCTTAAACTGGCACGAAAATACGACATTGACGTCGTACCTTCTGGCGACTGCCCTGAGGCGATGTGAAGTGTTGTTGTAATACGGCGTGACTGAAAACTTTTTTGGGCGGGGTGGCTTTTTGCGGTCGAGGGAAGACTTTGATATTAAGGCCTTTAAGGTGGTTGCAATGAGGTCACGCGGGTAACCGGCTTTTTTGATGCGATTGATTTGGTTAGTTAGGCTTGCATTGGAAAGGTGGGGGCAAGATTTTGTGCAGGAAGAGGAGAGAAGGCTATTTACAATGCCCGACTTTACATTTTTTGGGTGGTGGCTCGCGAAGGGGAGAACCGGCTTCTGGGATCGCTGCTAGTTATACTAAGTTATACTAAGTTATACAGGAATACTGCTAGCTCCATTCAAAACTTTTTTACTGGGGCTACAAAGGTTTGAAGATCCTACGTTCTTTAGTGGTGCAGTTTAAGAACAAACACAATGGGGAGGTGTCGCAAAGTTGTTGGTGTCTTATTTACTTTAAGAAGTTGGACGAGACTCAGTCCTATCGTCGGGAAAAAAAAGCTAATTAATTATGACAAATGGCAAATAACAAAACGTTGACGTACGACAATTTATATTCAAGGGAAAATAAAATTATCGAGGAATTTTAAGTGAGGGATTAGGTTCAGCTCACGAGTCTGTCGTAGGAAAGCACTGGTCACAGATTAGTGTAGGTGCCATTGAGACGCTGAGTAGAATTAAAGGTCCTTGGGGATGGTCCGTTCTTCAATCACAACAGGGGCCTTTGTTTCTGCTGGACGGCAGATGTAATGACTGTCTTAGGTCCCTGCTCCCAAAAAGATCTGGTCAGTCCTGGGCATATTCGAGCAATGACACTTAGGGAAGCATGACATATGGTTGCGGCTCTTAGTGCCTGGACGATACCTTAGGTCCAATGTCTTCACATTTCCAAGCCTAGTTCGATTGTCCCGCGAAGCTGTCTCGTGCCCTTTTTGTTTCATCCCGACGCACACTTTTTTATCATCTTTAGGATCGGCATAAAAGAGATCAAATTACACAAATAATAAGATGGACAAAAGTGG